AGTTTAGTTTTAAAAACTGAATTAATAACAATTATCTTAAGTTTTTGTATGAAAAGCTACTAAGGATTCAAGATATCCAAATGAATTACAGTTTTATTTTAATTCTATATTTGTTTAGATTCTGTCTCTCTTCAAAAAGCTGAGAGATGCTGGCTCCCAGTTGGCTGACCTTAAAGAAAGGTAAGAGAGCCCGGCTGATGTGGCTCAGTGGTTGAGTGTCAGCCCATGTACCAAGAGGTTGCTGGTTCGATTCCCAATCAGGGCACATGCCCAGGTTCTGGGCCTGATCTCTGGTGAGGGGCATGCAGGAGGCAGCCAGCCAATGTTCTATCTCATTAATGTTTCTATCTCTCTCTTCCTCTCTCTAAAATTAATAAAGAAAGAAAAAAATTTTAAAAGAAAGAAAGGTAAGACAGAAGAAGTATTTTCTCTGGCAGATTCCAAGCTGTCTGGAAGTGGGTGAGGCAGCATGGATGCACTGATGAGACTGTTTCTCTGGGCCCTGCCCTCCAAGTTAGAGGCCGAGGGAAGAGGTATAATTACTTAGGACATGAGGGGCTAGCAGTTCTCTTTCCTATTTTTAATAGGGACCAAAGCTGTTGCTTATTATGAGAGCTATATGGAAGACATCCCAGATTCCTAGGCCACTGGGTGTATGTCTATTTTCAAGCCTCTGATATTTTCACTGACATATCCTTTAAACATCTAGAAGCCAGTTCCTAATCAAGTTAAAAATATCAGCAAATAAATATAGATTCAAAACCCTAATTAACTATGAACAAATAAATTTCAACAGTTTATTATTAAAAGAATAATAGTACTACTAAGAATAATTTACCAAGAAAGGTAAATCCAGTAATGCAGGAAAGATTATCAATGCATATATTAATGATTTATCACATTAATAAGTCAAACAAGTAATACATCTCATTAGACACCAAAAGGTAGTTGCTAAAATTTGGCAACTATTTATAATTTAAGAAAAATTATCACAGTAAACTGGCATAGAGAAAGCTTATTTTACCATGACAAAGAATATCTAAATGAATATCATATTTAACAATGAAACACTAGAAGAATTCTCAATGAAGTCAGAATTAAGACAAGAATACTCTTTATTGCATTATTTTTAAAGCATAAAAATGAAAAGCTATTCCTAGAAGTAAAATCACTGGGTCAAATGGAAGTTCAATTTTTAATTTTTTGAGGTAACACCATATTGTTTTCCATAGTGGCTGCACCGGTCTGCATTAAAAATTGAACTTCCATTTGACCCAGTGATCCCACTTCTAGGAATATACCCTAAGAAGCATGAAACACCAATCAGAAAGAATATATGTACCCCCATGCTCTTGGCAGCACTATTTACAATAGCTAAGATCTGGAAACAGCCCAAATGTCCATCAATAGATGAATGAATAAAAAAGCAGTGGTACATATACACAATGGAGTACTATGCTGCTGTAAGAAAGAAAGATCTCTTATCCTTTAAGATGACATGGAGGGACCTGGAAAGTATCATCCTAAGCGAAACAAGCCAAACAGAGAAAGACAAGTATCATATGATCTCACTTATTTGTGGAGTATAATGAACATAACAGTCTGAGGAATGGGGTAGTCCCAGAGATGTGGAAGTGGGGCACAGACTGACAATCCCCAGAAGAGGGGGTGTTGGGGGAGAGATAAAACACAGAACTTAAATGTATGTGTGCATGAACAATGAACATGGACAACAAAGCTGGGGACAGGGCGGGGAGGGAGAAGAGGGGGGAATCAGTGGGGGGGAAAGGAGAAACATCTGTAACAAAAATAAATTAATTAATTAAAAAAATGAAAAGCTATGTGTTTAGCAATTGAGTATTAAATAATTTATAATATATTCATAATATGGAATACTATGCTGCCATTATAATCATGCTGTACATACATGTAGACATGTGTATGCATGAGATCCATACACACAGCATATAAGTAAATCTATACATATATATAGATGTTTGTAAATGGAAAATATGCATGAATATAATTGTGCACCAAAAGAGTTCTGAAAATAAATGCAAACTTAACAGTGGTTCCTTTACAAGAGTGAATTGGTAGAATTGAAGGATTCAAATGGAATGATCCTATGTAAAGAGAATCTTCTGTAAAGAGTAATTCTGTACTGTTTGGTATATTTTTAAAAAATATGCTTTTATTGATTTTTTAGAGAGAGAGGAAGGGAGAGATAGACACATCGAAGTGAGAGAGAAATGTTGATCAGCTGCCTCCTGCACGTCCCCTACTGGGGTTTGAGCCTGAAACCTGGGCATGTGCCCTGACCAGGAATCAAATCTGGTCCTCTCAGACCATGGGATGATGCTCAATTCACTGAGCCACACCAGCCAGGCATGTACTGTTTAATACTTTTACCACAAGAAAATACAGTATGTGCAATATTTAAGCCAATTTTAAGAGACAAGTCTAAGAATATTGACAGTGGAGAAATAATATTTCTAACTGAAAAATAGCCATAGGTATAAGACATGATAATACATCAAAAAATAACCCAAATGATGTATACACCCAAATTTTTACTTTGGTTGTTATAGTTGTATAATAAAACTGTGGATAATTTTTTTGCTTTTGCTTTTTGTATTTTCCAAGTTCTCTCTACTAATCTTTTACCTAATTACAAAATAAATATGTAAAGAAAATTATGGTAATGTTTAAATTATAGATGACACCAACTATTACAAGGTTTATATGAAAATCTTTTTATCTGAATCTAGTTTCTAAAAGGGTCACGATGCCTCCTAACTACAGTCATCCCTCCCCACGTCGCGCTTTGACTTTTGATAGAGTGAAGCCGCGAAGCACGACTTGGCGAGGGACGACTGTGTATAAACAAAGAATCCTACTTGGCGGAAATTCATTTATCGCCGCCTGGAGTCTGGAACGGATTAACCGCGATAAACGAGGGCCGACTGTATCACAATCTTGTAAAAGTATTGGGAAAGCGAACTGCTCTCATTTTATTTCAAAACTAGCTCCCTTTTCTGGGCTTGCTTAATTTGGTAATATCTCTGAGGTTCCAAATCTTGGAATCATTCTTCATTCCTTTCTTTTCTAAACAAAGTAATTCATTAAGTTCTCTCAGTGACCCTTCCTCCATTTGACACAACTCTTGCCCATTTTAATCCCCTACCATCTCCCGGTTTAGGCCTTCATTTCCTCACACCTGGACCACTGAGACATCTCCCTGCCAGGTTTGTCCCCTCTATTTACACATCTCACACCCTACATTGTCTATATGCCCTCTTTATATCATCCAACTGCTCTATTCCTTGTTTCTCCAATGTGTTACATTCTCACCTCCATCCCTATGGGCTTGACATTGCTCCTTGCAATAGTATCTGAGTTTCACACTATCCTCCCAAACTAAACCCTTCTCCACCAAGTCTGTCTTTCTTTTTCATCCCTTTACATATCCAGTCCTTCATTTAGCACATATTTCTTAACCAGACATTGACCTAAGCACATGGATTACTATTTTTCCAAATTAGTGACTGGACCACAAAGAATTATGAAACTCAAATTCACAACATTATCGGCTTCAAACATATATTATCATGTTCTCCAATAGCCACAGAGTTCTTTAAGAGCTCCTCATCTCTCTGCTTCCCTCTAACTCTTCCCAAATCCTTCTTGTATTCAGCAATTTGTACCTGCCTTATTTATACTAGGCTTTATGTTAAATGGTAGGAATGAAAAGGTGAATAAAACCTGCTTCTTATTCATTGAGAGCTTCTCTTTCATTTGGGGTGGTAGGCAGGAAACTAAATACAACAGTGAGTTAAAGGTGTTCTAACAGAAGTGCTCAGAAGAATAAGAGAGTGTGTTTAATTCTACCTGGTTAGAACGAGGGAGGCCTCACATATGAGGTAGGGTTTCAGCTGATGGCAGGTAGAGAAGATGAGGGAGCGTTTGGAGCAGTGAGAGTAGAACTGCAAAGGCGCAAAGGCTTAAATGGCACAGCTTGTCAGGAAACCGCAGGCACAGTAGTGCGACTAGAGCACATGAGGCTGGGGAGCTGCGCTGGGCCAGGTCTTATTCTGCGTTTGAGGGAGTGAGTAAACACCAAAGATTTTAACGCAGTGAAGTAACATGATTGGATTTGTGTTTTGAAAAGTAACTCTGGTGGCTATATGGAAAATAGTTGGGGAGGGGTGACCCACAGGGCCCAGGGCAGACAGAAAGGCACAACGAGGTTGTTACAGTCTGGGGGAGTGAAGAGAACCAGGCAAGTCATAAAGTAGAGAAGGAGGGGTGGGGGATGGAGAGAAGGAAGTGATTTGGAGAGATTTCAGAAAGGTGAAATCAATAGGACTTATCTACAGTTGGGTTTTAGAGAATTAGTAAGAGAAGAGATTAAACAGTGACTTCTGAGTTTCTGACTTATCTCGATTCCAAAGAGAAAATAGAGGAGGGTACGCTGTAAGTTTGAGTGGCCTGTTGAGTATTGAGGTAGACGGTCTTGGAAGTTGTTGGATATACACAGGGGTGGGCAAAAGTAGAATAATAATAATATAATAATTAATAAATAAATAATAATACAAGAATAAACTCTTGCATACTCACAAATGTAAGCCTACTTTTGCCAACCCCTGTATCTATCGAGAGAGAAAGAGATTGAGATGCAAGTGCAGCAGTTTGTTTGGATTAGTATCAGAGATTTAGAAGTTAGAGTATAAATAGTGGTCAAAATCATGAGAACAGGTAATATTGCCCACAGAAAATGTATATGATGAGAACAGGTATTAAGGACAGAGCTCTGGGAAACACAAACCATTAAGAAATCAGAATAAGAGGAACCAGGAAAGGACCCTTGGAAGAAATGGTCAGAGAAGCAGGGTTGGCTATTGTAGGAGTTTCCTATTGTGCTATAACACATTACTACTTTACTATTAAAACAACACAAATGTATTATCTTACCCTTCTGTAGGTTAGAAGTCTAACTTATGCCTTGCTGGTCTGAGGTCAATGTGTCCACAGAGCAGGATTCCCTTCTGGAGACTCTAAGGAAGAGATAGTTTCCTTGCTTTCACAGGTTCCAGAGGCCATCTGCATTTTTTGGTCTTTTTTTTTTTTTTTAATTCATTTATTTATTTTTTATTAATTTATTTTTGTTACAGATGTTTCGCCTTTTTTTCCCCATTGACACCCTCCTTCCCCCCCCCCCCCTCGTACCCGGCTCTATTGTCCATGTCCATTGGTTATGCATACATGCATATAAGTTCTGTGGTTTATCTCTTCCCTCCCCCCACAACCCCCTCTTCTGAGGGTTGTCAGTCTGTACCCTACTTCTACATCTCTGGGTCTACCCTATTCCTCATACTGTTATGTTCATTATATTCCACAAATAAGTGAGACTATGTGATATATGTCTTTCTCTGCTTGGCTTGTTTCACTTAGGATAATACTTTCTAGGTCCCTCCATGTCATCTCAAAGGATAAGAGATCTTCCTTCTTACAGCTGCATAGTACTCCATTGTGTAATTGTACCACAGCTTTTTCATCTATTCATCTACTAATGGACACTTGAGTTGTTTCCAGATCTTAGCTATTGTAAATAGTGCCGCTATGAACATGGGGGTACATATATTCTTTCTGATTGGTGTTTCAGGCTTCTTAGGGTATATTCCTAGGAGGTGGATCACTGAGTCAAATGGTAATTCAATTTTTAATTTTTTTTTTTTTTATCATCCTCACCTGAGGACATTTTTCCATTTTTTGTTCAGGTAGAGTGGGAAGGAGAGAGAGGAAGAGAGAGAGAGAAACATCGATGTGAAAGGGACACATCGAGTGGTCGCCACCCGCACAACCAACCAGGGCCGGGGACAAACTGCAACCGAGGTACATGCCCTTAGCAGGAACTGAACCCGGGTCTTTCCGGACCGCAGGCCGATGCTCTAACCGCTGAGCCAAACCGGCCAGGGCAATTTTTAATTTTTTGAGGTAACACCATATTGCTTTCCATAGTGGCTGCACCAGTCTGCATTCCCACCAGCAGTGTACTAGAGTCCCCTTTTCTCCACACCCTCGCCAACACTTGTTTGATGATTTGCTGATGGTGGCCATTCTGACAGGTGTGAGGAGATACCTCATTGTTGTTTTAATTTGCATCTGTCTGATGATTAGTGATGTTGAGCATTTCTTCATATGTCTCTTGGCCATTTGTATGTCCTGTTTGGAGAGGTGTCTATTTAGGTCCCCTGCCCATTTTTTTATTTTTAAATCCTAACCCGAGGACATTTTTTTATTTTTTGTTTAGCTAGAGCAGGAGAGAGAGACAAGAAGAGAGAGAGAGAAAAAAAAAACATAGACGCAAAAGGAACACATTGAGTGGCTGCCACCCACATGACCCAACCAGGGCTGGGGACAAACTGCAACCAAGGTACATGCCCTTAGTGAGAACCGAACCTGGGTCTCTCTGGACCGCAGGCTAACGCTCTAACCGGCCACGGCTCTGCCCATGTTTTAATTGGGTACTCTATATATTTTGGAAATTAACCCCTTATCTGATGTATCATTGGCAATTATGCTTTCCAATGCAGTGGGTTGCCTTTCCATTTTGATGGTCGTTTCTTTTGCTGTGCAGAAACTTTTTAGTTTGATGTAGCCCTGTGTGTTCATTTTTTCCTTTGTTTCTATTTCCTTAGGTGATGTATCAGTGAAAATTCTGCTGCGTATGATGTCCAAATTTTTGTTGCCTACATTTTTTTTCTTTAAGGATTTTTAAGGATTCACAGGTTACATTTAAGTCTTTTATCCATTTTGAGTTTATTCTTGTGTATGATGTAAGTTGATGGTCTAGTTTCATTTTTTTGCATATAGCTGTCCAATTTTCCCAACACCATTTATTAAAGAAACTGTCTTTACTTCATTGTATGCTCTTGCCTCCTTTGTCAAATATTTTTTTTTAATCCTCACCCGAGGACATTTTTCCATCTTTTTGTACAGATAGAGTGGGAGGGAGAGAGAGGAAGAGAGAGAGAGAGAAACATCGACGTGAAAGGGACACATCGAGTGGCTGCCACCCGCACGACCAACCAGGGCCGGGGACAAACTGCAACCGAAGTACGTGCCCTTAGCGGGAACCAAACCCGGGTCTCTCTGGACCGCAGGCGGACGCTCTAACCGCTGAGCCAAACTGGCCAGGGCTCCTTTGTCAAATATTAATTGAGCATATTGTCTTGGGACAATTTCTGGGGTCTCTATTCTGTTCCATTGATCTATCTGCCTGTTCTTGTGCCAGCACCAGGCTGTTTTGATTACAGTGGCTTTGTAGTATAACCTGATATCCGGTATTGTGATCCCACCTACGCTGTCCTTTTTCACGATTGCTGTGGCTATTCGGGGTCTTTTTTGGTTCCATATGAACTTTTGAAGTATTTGTTCTAGTTCTATGAAATATGTTGTTGGTATTTTGATGGGGATTGCATTGAATCTATAGATTGCTTTGGGTAGTATGGACATTTTAATGATGTTAATTTTTTGGTCTTTTCATACGTCTTCCAAGCCAGCAGCAGCAGCTCCAGCCTGTCTTACATCATTCGGACCTTGCTCTCTGCCTCTCTATGTCTGCCTCCATCTTCTACTTTTTTTTTTTTTTTTTATCCTCACCCGAGGACATTTTTCCATTTTTTGCACAGATAGAGTGGGAGGGAGAGAGAGGAAGAGAGAGAGAGAGGGAAACATCGATGTGAAAGGGACACATCGAGTGGCTGCCACCCACACGACCAACCAGGGCCGGGGACAAACGGCAACCGAGGTACATGCCCTTAGCGGGAACCGAACCCGGGTCTCTCTGGACCGCAGGTGGATGCTCTAACCGCTGAGCCAAACCGGCCAGGGCTAAAAATTTTTTTTTTTTCTTTAGTGATTTTAGAGACAGGAAGGGAGAGAGAGAGAGAGAGAACATCGATCAGCCGCCTCCTGCATGCTCCCCACTGGGGATCAGCCCACAACCTGGGCATGTGCCCTGACCGGGAATCGAACCGGTGACCTCTGTGGTGCAGGGTCAATGCTCAGCCACTGAGCCACACCGGCCGGGCCATCTTCTACTTTTAAGGACCCTTGTGATTATATTGGGCACATGAATAATCCAGGCTGTTCTCCCTATCAGCTGATTAGTCATCTTAATGCCATCAGCAACCTTAATTCCTCTTTGCCACATAACGTAACATATTAATAAATTCCAGGGATTAGGACATGGGAGAAGTGCGGGATTACTCTACTTCAGCTGTCATCTCAGAAACCCCAAAACCCAAGGAATTAAAGGAATAAAAAAGGATGCTGGTGATCCTAGACAAATGACTCAGTCTCTCTTTCTGCTTCTGTTTATCTACAAAATAAAGATAATAATGGTACCTACCTCAAAGGATTGTTATAGAATTACATGAGCTGATATTTATGAAGCACATAAAACTGTGCCTGTTTTACAATTTAAAAAAAAGCAATTAGAGAGATTAAATAAGGCAAGAGTTAAACTGAACATTGGTTTTAATTAGGCAATTAGTGGTCTTCACCATTGCAGTTTCAGGGATATAGTGGTTGTAGTCTAATTATGGTAAGATAAAGGTGAAAAATTGGAGAGCAGGAGTAAATATAGTTATTTTGATGAGCTGTTCAGGGATGGAAGAAAAGGAAGCTAGAACAGTCTTAGCTATCTGGGGATGGGAAGTTACAGGAGATCTGAACACATTTCCATGCTGTGGAAAGTAGATAGAAAGGCTGATTATATTAGGGAGGGAATAAGGGAATAATTGACGTTGAAAAATCCCAGAGGAGATGGAATAGATGTGATCAACAACTCAGATGTGGAGTTAACTTTGAACAGGAGAAGAAACAATTAATTCTCTGGGTCTAGAGGGAAAACTATGAGGGTGAATCCCAGGAATTAAATATAGTTCCTTTCCTTGGTTGCTGTCTATTGGAAGAAATTACTCACAAGCCTTCACCTGAGGCTATGACACCAGAGCTGAGTTTTCATTCATCATCCAATATCAGATACTACACATTATCAAGAGAGTTTACCTCCTTCCACAGGAAGTTTCCATTTGGGTCTTTCAGTGCTCAAGTTTAGAATTAGCAAGCAAATATATCATTTCTTTCAGGGTGGTTAATTTCATCAACAATACCTGTCTCCTTCAAAAGATGTCTCTAACCAAACAGTTGACAGAGAGAAGGGGGTTGAGGGGCTAGGTAAAAAAGGTGAAGTGATTAAGAAGCACAAATTGGTAGTTACAGAATAATCACCAGGATGTAAATTACAGCATAGGGAAGTCTCTGCCTGGCTGGTGTGGCTCTGCCTGGCTGGTGTGGCTCAATGCATTGAGCATTGTCCCATGGACTGAGAGGTCCCTGTTCCATTTCCGTTCAGGGCACATGGCCAGATTTCGGGCTTGATCCTTAGTATGGGGCGTGTGGAAGGCAGTGGATTGATGATTCTCTCTTACCTCAATGTTTCTATTTCTCTCTCTAAAAAAAAAAAAAAAAAAAAAAAAAAAAAGCCCTGGCCAGTTTTGCTCAGTGGTTAGAGCATTGGCTCATGGGCCAATGAGTCTCAGGTTCAATTCTGGTCAAAGGCATGTACCTCGGTTTCCATTCATCCCTGGCCCTGGTCAGTGTTGTGCGGGAGGCCACCAGTCAATGTGTCCATCTCACGTCAATGTTTCTCTCTCTCCCTCCCTCCCACGCTACCTGAAGAAAAATAGAAAAATATCTTTGGGTGAGGATTAAAAAGAAAGCAGTCTCTGCCCTGGCCAGTTTTGCCCAGTGGTTAGAGCATCAGCCTGCAGTCTGGAGAATCCCAGGTTCGGCTCCCATTAAGGGCATGTACCTCAGTTGCAGTTTGTCCCTGGCCCTGGTTGGGTCGTGTGGGTGGCGACCACTCGATGTGTCCCTTTCATGTCGATGTTTCTCTCTCTCTCTCCCTCCCACTCTATCTGAACAAAATATGGAAAAATGTCCTTGGGTGAGGATAAAAATAAAAATAAAAATTTAAAAAAAGAAAGCAGTCTCTGGTCAAGGCATGTATGCTTTACCTCTTTTTGTTCCCACTTTTCTGATAGAAAAAGATGACAAAGCACACCAATCCAATTAAGTATAACTTCATGTTAATGGAACAAGATTTCTTTATTTATTTTTAACTTTTTAGCATGGAAATTTTCAAGCCACTAAAATCAAGATAATAACATAATAACAAGCCTCCATGCATGTATCGCTTCACTAATTACAACCTATGGTCAATTTTGTTTCATCTGTACTCTCCCCTCACCACCTAGTATTTTAAATAAGTTTTCTAAAAAAAAAGTAGGACTTTTATACTTAATAATTATATACTTCATATATCTGTTTCTTTTCCATCACATCACCAAGACACAAAATATAGTATGGTATCAGTTTATATAAATTTGAAATAGCACAACAGAAATATTAATAAAGGCTCATTTTAGATGCTAATTTAAAATCATTTAAAAATGTTTTAAGAATTGTGTAATTATTAAAAGCTGCATAATTTCTGGTAGGCAAGTAAATATGTTTCATGTTTTGTCACCACAACTACTCAACAGAAGTGCCTACCTATCCTTCATACACTACGAACACTTCAATTACGTGGTTTGGAACGGAATAATTTGGATCACTATGTTGCCATTTAACATTCATCACTATTTTATTATTTTTTTAATCCTCACCCGAGAATATTTTTCCATTGATTTCTTTTTAGATAAAGAGGGAGGAAAAAAGGGAAGGAGGGAGGAAGGGAGGGAGGGAGGGAGAGAGAGAGACATCAATGCGAGAGAGACACATTGATTGGCTGCCTCCTGCAAAACCCCAACCAGGGCTAGGGATCAAACCTGAGACTCTTTGGTCCTCAGGCCGAAGCTCTAACCACTGAGTCAAACCGGCCAGGGCTCATCATTATTTTAATGTAAAATTGTTTTTAATTGCTCATACAATGCCATCAAGTGCTGATGCTGGTGCTTGAAAACTTGCTCCCATATCAGTAACTTTGGAATGGAAATTAAATGTGATAAATTGTTCTGAAGAAGGCCAAACCCTACAACAGCCAATATTGTTCATTTGGAAGAAGGCACACTGCAAAATATTAGAAATGCTGCTGAAACACATAAAAGGAGCACATACAGCCCTGGCGGGTTTGGTTCAGCGGTTAGAGCGTCGGCCTGCGGTCCTGAGAGACCTGGGTTCGGTTCCCGCTAAGGGCGCGTACCTCGGTTGCAATTTGTCCCCGGCCCTGGTCGGTCGTGCGGGTGGCAGCCACTCGATGTGTTCCTTTCACATTGATGTTTCTCTCTCTCTCTCTGTTCCTCTCTCTCCCTCCCACTCTGCCTGAACAAAAAATGGAAAAATGTCCTCGGGTGAGGATAAAAGGAGCACATACATCTTTAATCTTTACAAATCCTCGAGTATCTGGGCAAAAATAATGGGGAAAAAAGAATACTGGTGACTCAGCTACAAGATCAATATCACCGTAATAAACTTATAGGCTCTGAAAAAGTATTCCAGCTCCCCACTACCTCCACCACCACCATTTACTTTACATTTATTCCAATTGGAATATTATACCAGACCTTCAAGAATATATTACCTACATAAAATGCTAGTGTCCTGCTCTCAAAATTAAATGCAGACACCTGAATGTACATCACTGTATAACACTGTTTTATAGTATTTTAAGGTAATCAAAATAAGAAAGAAAAATATCTTGAAAAATTAAATTCTATTTTTAATTAAAATAGTTTGTAGCAACTTCATTTGCCAATCTTCCTAGCAGCTGAGTGTAACCTGTGACTATGTTCTGGTCAAGGGGATTGAAATAAGAGTGTTACATGGCAGTTTACAGGACCCTTTCTAGAAAAGGTAGTTGGTGTCTTTGAAACAAATAGTGTTGAGAAAACTAGATACCCCCACACAAAAGAATGAAATTGTATCCTTATCTGGCACCATATATAAAAGTTCACTCAATATAGATTAAAGACCTAAATGTAAGAGGTAAAATTATAAAACTTCTAGAAGAAAACATAGGAAGAAAGCTTCATGTCATTGGATGTGGCAATGATTTATTGGATATGACACAAAAAGTACAATCAACAAAAGAAAAAATAGATAAATTTGATTACATCAAGTAAAAAATTTAATGCATGAAAGGACACTATAACAGAGTAAAACCCACAGAATGGGAGAAAATATTTGTAAATCACATATCTAATTAGAAGTTAATACCCAAAATACATTAAGAATTCTCACAACTCAACAACAACAAAATCCAATTAAAATAGACAAAGGAGCCCTGACTTGTGTGGTATAGTGGTTAGAGTGTTGTCCCGTACACCAAAGAGTTACAGGTTTGATTCCTGGTCAAGTTCACCAGTCAAGGGCACATGCCTGGGTTCCAGATTCAATCCCCAATACCAGTTGGGGCATGTGTGGGTGGCAACCAATTGATGTATCTCTCTCACATCTAATTCTCTCTCTCTCTTCCTCTCTCTCTCGCTCACTCTCCCTCCTATCCACTCTCTAAAAAAATCAAGGGAAAAAATACCCTCAGGGTGAGAATTAACAACAGCAGCAAAAATAGACAAAGGAATTAAATAGACATTTTCCAAAGAAGATATACAAATAGCCAATAATTGCATGAAAAGATATCAACATCACTAATCATTAGGGAAATAAAAATCAAAGCCACAATAAAATACCACCTCATGAGCATTAAGATGGCTATTATGAAAAAATAAATAAATAAATAACAAATGTGAAGAAATTGGAACCTTTGCTCATTGCTGGTGAGAATGTAAAGTGGTACAGCCTGTAAGGAATATTGAATTGGCAGTCCTCAGAAAGTTAAAATCAAATTACCATATAATTCACCAATTCCACTTGTGGTACATATCCAAAATAATTAAAAGCCAGGACCCAAACACATATTTGGACACCCATGTTTCATAGCAGCATTACTGACAAAAGCCAAAAGGTGGAAGCAACCGAAGTGTCCATCTCTGGGTAAATGGATAAACAAAATGCAGTAGCTTATTCACCCTTTAAAAGTAAGAAAATGGTGACATATGTTATGACATGAACCTTGAAAGCATTATGCTAAGTAAAATAAGCCAGTCACAAAATAACAAATATTGTTTGATTCCATTCATATGAGATACCTAGGGTAACAAACTCATAGAGACAGAAAGTAGAATAGTGATTGCAAGGAACTGGGGAGAGGAGAGGATGGGGAGTTATTTTTATTTATTATTATTTTAAAAAATATTTTTCTTTTTAATACATTTTTTCTTTATTAATTTTAGAGAGGAAGAAGAGAGAGAAACATCGATGCGAAAGAACATCAATTGGCTGCCTCCTGCATGCCCCACATGGGGATCTGGCCCACAACCTGGGTGTGTGTCCTGACCAAGAATCGAACCGGCGACCTCTTGGTGCATGATGGGTCAACGCTCACCACTGAGCCACACCAGCTGGGCTGGGAGTTATTTTTTAATGAGTGCAAAGTTTCTGTTTAAGAAGATGGAAAAGTAGTTCTGGAGATGGATGATAGTGATAATTGCACAACAATGTGAATGTACTTGATGCCACTAAAGTAACCATACATTTAAAAATGGTTAAAGTGATACATTTTATGTTATGCGATTTTACCACACACATTTAAAAATGTTGGTACACCTTTTGCCCTCTCTTCTTTGCTCATTTCTCCTTCCTGCTGGCTGGAAGGCAGATGTGATGGCTGGATCTGGAATAGTCTCCTTGGACCTTACAAGTTGTGTCTTGCACAAGTCTAAGGGGAACCATTTACATAGAATGTATCAATATTTACATAAGAGAGAAATATTCTGTCTTGCTTAACCACTATTTTAGATTTCTGTTACTTGCAAACAAACCTAATTCTAACTGATAGAATAGGTTATAGCTATATACATCTTATAACCTAAGTATTCACAAGCAATGACATCCATTGTCCAGAGGCATATGAACTATTATAATAAATTGAATAAATTCCAAACATATGCTAAATTGTGAACATCCGATGATCAGGCAGGAGAAAGCAATATAAAAAAAATCCCATTTTTCAATTTAATTTAGGTATTACAATAATTACCTTATAGTGACAAACATTGTAAAACTATGAAAAACTATGAAATGGTTCATTAATACACTCCTGAAACAACATGCAATTGTTAAAAAGAACAAGGCAAATGCACATGGAAGCAAACGTCGGAACTGCCTGTACTGTATGATCCCCTTTGTATATAAAAAGCTGGCATGTGTGCTTGCAGGTGCAGGGAAGAGTAAGAAGAACAGCTAACAGTTACTAAACATGCTCTGTCCCAGAGCTTCTCTTATCTCCATATGTTCTCAAAACATTTCTGGGGGTATGGAACTTCATTACCCTTGTTTCACAGTGGAGGAAATTGAGCACAGATTTCACAGCATACCTTGTCCACACAAAAATTAAATATTGAGCATAGCTACCTCTGAGTGGTGATGGTAATGGGGGATTATAGCAAGTGTAATGGTTACACTCTTCAATTCAGTATATACATATTTTTTTATTATGAGGATGTATAACATTTTAGATAAATATTTGGGGATATGAGGAGAAATGCCAAAGAAATGTAAGGTAATGAAACCACGGTTATGCCCTGGAGAATTAAATAGGGTTGAATTCCGCACACATGTTTAAGATTTCTACAAAGGAAATAAAAAGGGATCAATGGAAACTTAAAAAAATGTAGTACATGTCAAAACTCAGGGTGGTAGCTCTTAATACATTTAGTACAAACAGATAGTATCGGGCAACATTTGTCAAACAGTACTTGGACACTGAACACTGCCTGGCTACTATAAAAAAATAAATACAATATCTTATACCTTGCCCAGAGACACAAAGAATAAAAAGTAAAAATTAGATTAGTGACATGGAATTAAAATATCAGATTAAATGAAGGTAAATACACACACACACACACACACACACACACGCTATTGTAAGGGCTGAATGTACCCAACTTTAGGGAACTGTAGCAGACTCTGCAATGCCCAGGCCTTTTGTTGTGCTCTGATTGACTTCCACTCTCAGTGTCTGAATCTGCACCCCTGAAAGTTCCTTCCCTCCACTTTCTACCCCAAACCAGAACCACAGAAAGCCCCATATCTTGCTTCCAGCAGGCCAAGGTGCCCAGATATCAACATTCCCACACCCACTTAGCAGCTCTTATCCAATGACTAGTCTCAGGAGTTGGTATATAAATACTAGTTTCCTCGCCCCTCAGTTGGGATAATTCTGAAGCATGTATTTTGAACTATCTCCCAGTTTCCCCATGGAATTAAGCTCCAGCCACTCCCTGGAGTAGCTAACATCATAATGCACCCTTCATTAGCCTTCTTCCTTTCTGGTATCACTTCCTCACTTTCCTGCCCTATTGTTTACTCCACTTCCCAAATAAATGCTCACTCTCAATCCTTACCTTGGGGTCTGCTTCAGGGAGAACCCAAATTATGATGGGGGAGATCTTCAATCATACTGCAGTCTATCTGAATAACACCCCTTGAAGTGGTGCATTGCTCAGCCCATGAAACCATCCATGGTGTCTCTGTAAATATATTAACCTTCATTTCCACAGCAGCCAGAACAGGAAAGAAGATGAAAAAACACCATGCTCTCATCATGGTTATAATAAATGCAACCCAGAAGTTCCTGTTTTTCAAAGAAACAAACAAAAAAAGTTAAGTAGGATTTAAAGGAGTAAGGAATTATAACAAATAAGGAAAAAGAATCCACTGGAGACACAGCAGGTAGATCTGTCTTAGAATTGTTATCAAATGCAGTATATAGTGAGCACCTATTTACAACTGTGCACCTGGCACTATAATTTGAATATTTAGTATGCTTAAATTCTTGAGTTTAGGACAAAAAGAAAGAAAAAGCGCTTAAACAGTTAAATCCTACCTAAATCTTAACTCTGCAAAAGCCATTTTGTTCATCAGGATGAGGTCAGTGATGGACCCTCACAATGGCTGTCCTGAATATGCCACTCAACAAAATGCAGAAATATCTGAAATTCATATGTCTTATAGAATCATAATGAGGACTCTGATGTTTTAAATTTAATGTTTTGGAAGAATTTTTTCAAACACGTCAAAGTCAATCAATATGCAAATAAAAGAATCACACCAGATAGCAGAATCTATTAGAGACTTGCTGATTTATGTAGTTAACAAATACTAAGCACCTACTCCATGTGTGGCATTTTCTCTTAAAATTACTTAAAATTGGTACTGTTTTAGTTAGGAATACTACTACTGTAGAGCCTCTTTCTCAAAAATAATGCAAGGTAGATCAGCAGGCCAGATCCTTACTTTTTAAGTTTTTTTGTTAATCCTTACTAGAGAATATTTTTTTTCTACTGACTTTTAGAGAGAGTGGAAGGGAAGGAGAGAGAGAGAGAGAAAGAGAAACATCGACGTGAGAGAGATACATCTATTGGTTGCCTCCCAAAGACCCTGACCTGCCAGGGATCGCACCTGCAACTCAGGCACAAGCCCTTGACTGGGAATCAAACCCACAGACCTTTGGTCTGGGGGCTAAAGCTCTAACTGCTGAGCCAAACTGGCCAGGGCCATACTCATGTTTTCAATTCCATCTCTTAACTAAACATTTCACATTTAACTACTTTATATTCTGCATCTCATAATGATATGAAGTCTTCACAGGTCTAATCTATTGGTCATTGTTTTTTATTCCTTGTGCATTTCAAAAAAATTTTTTTTAACTGTGAATTCATATTTGGCTGCATTTATTTTGAGGAAATCCTGAGGGGCTTAAAGAATGCTTTTCTGCAGAAATGATTTCTGATTATTTCTGCTGGGTGTCAGGAGGTACTACCAATTTGGGATCATTCTAATTTCTTGGCCCTGGCCATAAGATGTGTGTAAACTTCACCCCTAGACCCATGTGGTAATAGATAATATATTCTGTTATGTTTATTATTTCTCTTTGAAGCTATGAATAAACACATTTTCTTATTTACTCATCACTGCAGGTGATTTTTCCCCCAGGTCACCCATTCACTGAGGCTGTAGCCTCTTCAAGTTGTCTGTTTATTTGGGGGGGAAGCTGTCTCAGAATTAGCCCTGCCCCCAATTTCTATGAGCCTTAGGACCTAGTTTCTTGGACCTCTGCATTCTACATAATACCAAAAACTCTAGTTTCTGATCTTAGCATAAGTTCCCAAAGTAGCCACAGTTACTCATTTAATTACCTCTCTGATTTCAGCTTGGTGTTTTATTTTGCTTATTTTTATTGGGGGGTGAGTGGGATTCATGGGTACTTTCCATTTTTCTTGCAAGCTTCTCAATACATTTAAAAGTATTTTGTTTATTGTGCTTTATCCTATGCCTAGGTGTTTAGCTGTGGGAGAGCCTTTTTGAAAACATCTAGCTTGTTATGCTGCCAGTAAAAAAGTCTTAACTAGTTTAATTTTCAAACTTTTTTGTTGTTGTAAATAAAAGACAGAGATCTTACCAAGTGCAAAATCCTTAGTGTTAGTGATCTGTAAATTGTAATGATAACTACAATAATGGTAGGTAAAATTTTCTTTATATCTAACTATATGCCAGGCATTTTACGTATGTTGTCTCATTTACTCTAAGAATGAGGTAGGTAACATTATCTCTAAGCTACAGGTGAAGGACTTGAGACTTTCCCAAAGTTACATAATAAATGGCAGAGATAGGGTTTTTCTGACTACAGATTTTTGTGTGCTTCCCTCCACTCCCCCCGGCCCACTGAGCTGGATTGCCTCTCTATTCAAGCTCTGAAATCACAGAAGTTATAAACATTTTTAAAAAATGTTATCAGCTATATTTTGTTTAAAGGTGGCAGACTGATCACATATCAACATGGAAGTATAGTATCTTCATCTCTCTTTTTTTTAAAGTATTTTTTTTCTTTTTTTAATGTTTTCGATTTTTTAGAGATAGAGGAAGGGAGAGATAGAAACATCAATGGTAGACAGAAACATTGATGAGCTGCCTCCTGCATGCCCCCTATTGGGAATCAAGCCTGCAACCTGGGCATGTGCCCTGACCAGGAATCGAACCTGGACCTCTCAGTCCATGGGATGCCACTCAATCCACGGCAGGGCAGTATCTTCATCTCAATAATGTAACAAATGTGGTCAAAACCTAACAATCTCTTCAAAATTTATCATGGGTCAAAGACATAGACAAAAATGGGAAACAGTCAAGCTAAAAAAGAGCTATTTTTCAGTCATTCAAAATTGTCAGATTAGTTCTTGAAGCACGATGTTTGTTTTATGCTTCAAAAACAGTGTTCTCTACCTTATCTCAAAAAAATTTAAGATAGCTAACAAGGATGCATGTACAAAATTCAAGATATAAACTAGAAATAGATGAGGGGAAAAAAGAAGCAAGAATTAAATACAAAGAAGTGAGATTAAAATAAAAATGTATAGCATTAAGCTTGTTATACATTTATTTATTTATTTATACAGGTGACAAATTTGGCCCTAAGTTTTCTAATGTCAATTTAAAAAGGGATACCTGAGTAGTTAAGAGTCACCATTTGGCCCTGGCCGGTTTGGCTCAGCAGTTAGAACATTGGCCCATAGACCCGAGTACTGGGTTCAGTTCCTGCTAAGGGCATATACCTCGGTTGCAATTTGTCCCTGGCCCCAGATGGGGTCGTGTGGGTGGCAACCACTCTATGTGTCTCTCTCACATTGATGTTTCTCTCTCTCTCTCTCTCTCTCTCTCTCTCTCTCTCTCTCTCTCTTCCTCCCGCTCTGTCTGAAGATAAATGTAAAAATGTCCACAGGTGAGGATAAAAAAAAAAAAAAAAAAGAGTCACCATTTGTGTGTGTGTATATGGGGAGGGGAGGTATGGCAACTCAGTTGCTCAGAATAACCACAGATATGACTAATCCCTATAAACAAGATAAAAAATTTATCAAAAAGCACCTCATAAAGAGAACATCGTATAATGAAAAAACAATATTCTGATTTGTGGTATTTTAAAAAATATTTTTTTTACTGATTTTAGAGAGAGAAGAAGGGAGAGGAAGAGAGAGATAGAAACAGAAACATCAATGAGAGAGAAACATCAATCGGTTGCCTCCTGCACTACCACTGCTGGGGATTGAGCCAGAAACCTGGGCAAGTGCCCTGAATGGGAATCAAACCAGTGACCTCTTGGTGCACTGGACAATGCCCAACCAACTGAGCTACACTGGCTGGGCTGTGGTATTTTTTTAAGAGTGAAAAGGGAACTATTAAACATTATGATGGGACAGATAGTAATAAACTGGGATTGCCCCCCCAAATAAAAATGTACGCTCTCACCCTACTTACAGTAATCACAACTCATAACAAATGACATATTTTATGAAGATATTTTATTATTGCATCCCTCAGTACAAGCTGATGACTGCACACAAAATAGCAATTCAGTAAAAGCAGTTCTATTTGAGGCTGATACAAGGATTGCTTATAACTTTCAGCATATCTAGTTGAATGGTAGACTTGAGAGCATAGTGAAACAGGATAACAAACTCATATGGGTTTAGTGGTGAGGAACTTAACATTAAGTGTCAAGTGGCCAGGTGCAGGATAATGGAGAATGGTCAATAAATAAACATTCTATTATTTTTTAAATCCTCACCCAAGGACATTTTTGCATTTATCTTCAGACAGAGTGGGAGGGAGAAAGAGAAACATCAATGTGAGAGAGACACATCCACTGGTTGCCACCCACACGACCCCAACCAGGGCTGGGGAAAAACTGCAACCGAGGTATGTGCCTTTAGTGGGAACCGAACCTGGAACTCTCTGGTCTGCGGGCCTACACTATAACCACTGAGCCTAACCGGCCAGGGCTAAATAAAACATTTTAAAACAATGTTCTAGAAAAAAAAAATCTTTGGTTGAATTTAGTTTCCAATTAAGTCACTGAGAATTGAAAATAATAGCATATCCATATAGAATACTTATTGGATTTCTATGTAATCTGCATTCAACATTCAATAGACATATAAAACATTAACTGGGTGTTCATATTTTCAAGTAATTCTTGTTTGTGTTTGCCACTATGTTGAAAATGTTTAAGGAGTTTTCCAATTAAATTTGAACAACAATTTCTGAATTAATTCTTGACTTTTATAAATAGCTAATTATTTTAAACAGTAATAATTACTCAAATTTTCCTCTGACTCTGGCTTCTGGAGAAATGCTTTTTCTTGGTCTTTCAGTATGAAAGAGAGGTTAAAAAATAGCTTATCCAATCAGAAGCTGCATTAGTAAAATTATAAGATTCCGAACAAGGGAACTAACAGTTAGAGGGAGACAGTAGTCTCACTTTACATCGTGCTGGTTAGACCCCCTTTAGTGCAGCTCAACGTGGGTGTCTCCATTACCAAAGGGAGACGTTGACAAAGCATAGGGTCCCAAGTGGCCATGCTGCCATTTCCCACTATTTACAGGTTTCTCCTCCTCTTTTTTTTTTTTTTGTTAATCCTCTCCCAAGGATATTTTCCATTGATTTTTAGACAGTGGAAGTGGGGGGTGGGGGTGGGGGGGACATCGACCGGCTGCTTCCTGCACAATCCCAACTAGGACCACAGATTGAACCTACAACCCGGATAGATGTCCTTGACCAGGATGAAACCCGAGACCCTTCAG